CAGAGAGTTTGTGTGTGTTTCAGGTTGCAATCTTGTAAGTACTTGGCAGTAAGTACCAATGAATTCAGTGAGATTTTCCCCTGAAAATCTGCTATCAACTGAACAAAAGTCAGGAAGCGCATTTCTATATATTAGAAATAAGCTATATGTTTAGAAGACACACCAGGAAAATGTTTGTATGACTAATTTAAGGCTTACTCTGTTCTTCTAAATTAAACGATCCAGGTCCAAAATACATGCTTTTGCCAGCTTAAATGTAGATGTTATGTGCTTGCACTCAGGGCCAGAATGCTGGTGGTTTTAACCCTTTCCCCAATTTAAAACAGGTCCAAAATACATGATTTTGCCAGCTTAAATGTAGATGTTATGTGCTTGCACTCAGGGCCAGAATGCTGGTGGTTTTAACCCCTTCCCCAATTTTTTCCAACAATGGCTGTAGAGACAGGTTGGGGTATCTACTATTTTAGGTCTGTAGGGCTCTTCTCCCACTCTCCAGTTTTGGGGAGCAATTTAAATACAGGAAGTTGCTTAGGTCTGTAGGGCTCTTCTCCCACTCTCGTTTTGGGGAGCAATTTAAATACAGTACAGGAAGTTGTAAGGTATCAGATTTAACCTTCCTTTCCATCACAGTACAATCCTTACCCAAGCTGGACCTTCCTGTAGCAACTGTTTAACAGCTCGATTCTTGTGGAAGCTCACAAATGGGACATGAACGGAACAAAACGTTCTTACCCATGTTGTACAGTTACCAACAGCCAGAGGTATCCTGCATATGGGAGGTGACATCTAGCCATGAATGGTAGACTTCTGCCTCTCTCTTGCATTATTTTTTCTAATCTTTCAAAGCCACTGAAGTTGGTGACCATCAAAGCATCATGGGGAAGTGAATTCCGGCTGAAGTATGCACTGTTTAAATAAGTATTTCCTTCTACCAGTTCCTTTTCTCCCACCATTTAGCTTTATTAAATGATCCTGGATTCTAGCATCTTGAGTGAAATAGCTGTGTTCCAGTAAAGTCTCTTCAGACCATGCATTATTTTATATACCTGTATCATCCCACGCCTCATCTTTTTCTAAGCTAAGAAGCCCTAATCGTTGTAACCTTTCCTCATGATCCCACTGTGGGATCTATTTTGTTGGTGTGCAACAGCGCAGAGGGGCACTCATAGCCTTCAGTCATTTTTGGACTGCAACTTGCATGAGCTCTAACTAGCACAACGCTACAGTGGTATTGGATCTGTCGTACATTTATTGTCGTATGTCTTACATAGCTGAGCAAAGTCATGCGCAGACTTACAGAAACTAAAAAGCCTTGAACATCTACGCAGAGAACACTGACCACATTGTTTCATTTGCCCACTGAGGATTCTCTGTTGTCCCACAAATTTATAACTCCTGCCAAAACCATTTGATATTCTTTACTGGGCGAGTTTGAATAGGCAAATTAATGCAAGTAGGTATTAAGAAGAACCTTGCATTTTGGTTGGTCTTTGGATCCTGCCCACATATTCATAATTCTATTCCATCAAAACTCAGGGTTTTTGAAGTGTAAAGCACTCAGAAGTCATCTGCCATTCCCTTCTTCTGGGGCACCTTTGGGACCACGTAGACTGTCAATGATCACTGAAATGGGCTTTTCTGCCACAAGGTAGTGAGGAACTGAGCTATCCAGTCAGCTTGTTCAAATATTGTCATATTATGTCATCAGTGAAACAGTATACATGAACATTCAAACTGCAGTACAAATGCTATTTTTTATCATGGTGACTTCCTCCCCGGCCCTTATCATTTATCTCTTCCTCCTGTACTACATATAAACTTGGATCTCATCCTCCTGTACCGTACAGGAATCTTGTGTCTGGAACATCTAGGGACATAGTTTTTATACTACTTTATTAAAACAGTAGTAACTTCCTTTTCAGTTTTATGAGCTCAGATGTAGCAGATACCACATCTCCTTTAGGCCAATGAAATTTTGCATCACTTGTGCTGCTTATGTCTTATAAGTGTGCAGTAGACCTTTTCCATATACAGTATAGCTTCACCCTTACCAGACTATGGAAGGGTCCGTCTGTAGAAACATACAAAACATAATGTTAAAATAAACAATCTACTCAGTCCTTCTTAATGTTTCTGTCCCTATATTCCAAATGGCCACCAGGATTTTAGACTAAAATTAACCAGTTCTATTCCCATCCACTTATTAAAACTAATTTTCTATAGTCTTCAAAACTTAGTTCTTACACACGTTTTCACAGATTAGTTTATGTCATTAGCTGGACTTGATGGATTCTATTCCATGAAAGCTCATGCCATTAAAAACATGCTGTGTTTAGTGGCTGTAAGACCTTTAGTTTTTCACTGCAATTAACAGGGCTATTCTAGCAGCTTTAATAATCACTGCAGACAGTAAGTGCCTTTTAAAAAGCATCATCCCCTCCTATATAATAAAGAATGGATGAGTCTTTTAAGAAAATGGTTGGTGCACCTTTAACACACCAAGTGTTGTAATTCCTCCCCCTGCCCCTACCTCCTAGTACTATTGATCCCAATAGCAATTTCAATCAGATTTAAAATCAATCCAAAAAATCATGATTAACATTGCAGTTAATTCAGTTATGAATGAAAAATCATCCATTCTATCACTAATTTTATTCCACTGCAGCATACACTATCCCATATTTTAGTTTTGTTTATGAAATACTGAGAGTTAAGTAAAAATAACTTCTGTGGTTATTCATCAAATTTTAAGGCAACTACAGCCTAGGTGGTGTCGTGGCATGCACAGAGAGGTACATCAGTACTCTGTGTTAAGGAAATGAATTGGAACATAAACCATGCTAAAGCCATTTGTCCAAGAGAATATGCAGATCAGAGTATATACATATTTCAGCAGTACCAACATTGAAGAACACACTAACCAAATGATTCACATATTTTATCTTAAACTCAGTACCCTGGATACAAACCTGAGAGTCCAGGTAGGTACTGTGTATTTGTGCTAACAGTTTCCCCCACATCCTTCTTTGCAGCCCTTCTGTACTCCCTGAAAAGCTATACTGAAAACCCTGCAACTCTAGTAAATTATTCTAGGTAGATGCACATAAGGTGTCATAGATGGCTGAAAGTCAGCAACAGCACTTGCCAATCCTGGTGTGAGCGAAAGTAATTTCAGCTCACTCAGCAGGGTCTCTGGTCTGTTTTATAATTTGGCCCTGACTCTAGAACAGCTGCTTCTGCCTCAAAACCTGGAAGCAACATAAAATAAAACGACTCTGGTCTTGTATGCGGTCTTGCAGGAAAAAAGATGGCTGTTTGTTAGACAGTGCATGTGACCTCTCTGCTTTAGAAGATTAAACCACACAGGATCAAGGCGGACAAGTGGGACTCTCACAGTAAACAGAATGACATTAAGTCATCACCAATTATATCAACTTGTCATTAAAAATACCTAGAATTAAAACATCAGAAAAATATATTTTTGAAAGAACAATGCAATCTGAGAAAAGAGAAAATTAAATCTAACACAAAACAGTTTCTATTCAACATTGGTATATTGTGTATAATTTGCCAGATTGCAGTCTACGCAATAAGTAGGGCATTTCTTTGACCTATGGTGTGGTAAATACAGTGATGAAAGCAAGGTCCAATTTATCTGCATTTCTCAATAAACAAAATCTTCAGAAGCCCATTATATGCCTGGTAATATTTTGACAGGGGAGGCTGCATCAAACTCATAATACTAAGAATCTAGAGGAATAATCAAAGATCAATGTTAAGAGTTGCCTAAAAGCTCCCTCTGAGGGCTGCTTCATGCCTGAAACCAATCAGCAGGTATTCTCAGGCATTACAATTTCATAATGTATACAGCAGCCATTAGCTGGGCAGCATTTTAAAATCTGCAATATGCAAAAAAAGAGCTATCTGCTATCCTGTGCAGTTTAAAAATAAAATTTTGAACACAAGCCTGCCTTTAAAAAAAAGGAAAGAAGCATAGCTACATTTTTATTTGTTTAGTTAAATACTGTATTTGTTTCTGTTTGCAGGAAAGAGAATACACAGTTATAGGAGCAAAGGGGGGTTTGCACCATGTTCATTTTGTGTGTTTTCTAATTTCAAAAAGCATTGACTGAAGAATAAAAATTTAGTTCTTTACAACTCTGGAAATTTATAATCACCTAGCATTAACACAAAGAACTCAGCAAAGCTAAACAACTAGTTGGAGCAGATTTAAAAATTACATACACAATATCAGGGTAAACAGGTAAAAACCAAGAAGAGTAAACTCTAGTCCTACCTAGAAAAAGAAGCACTGAAACACATGGGACTTATTAGTCCCAACATGTCCCACTGATTCCTAAAAGCCTACTCTAGGTAGAACCAACATTGTATTTAGCTCTGAATGATTTGGAATAGAATGAATAGTTTGAATATTAAGGGGAAAAACATACCTTGTCATCAAACTGTCACAAAATAAACTTTGGACACTAATTCTTTGAACTGTATCTGAGATGCAGAAATCTGAGTTCAGTTTAGCTTCAAGTCTGTTTTATTTCTTTCAAATGTTTACTCATCAAATTGTAACATGAACTGCTTGGAAATAAAATTAGGCCCTTTTTACAATAGTGTTAAGTCAGAACAAGTTCAAACTGGCTGAGTCCATTAGAAAGTGTGATTAGGTGAATTGAGTTTATTAAAATGCCCAAGAGAAGGCATGAGACATACAGAATGTCTAACGGCAAGTGGATGATGGGATTAGGTGACATCAAATGTTGGAAAAAATATCTTACTTGAAAGGTTTACTTAAGGGAAGCATATAATTGAATCATTTATTGAAAATTAGAAAGTTATATTTTGAACACCAATGATATTTTATATGCAGTTAATGATGCTAGTTTAGATAGTGTTAACTGAAAATTGTCTCCTAAATATTGTGTAGACAGAAAACAGCCTTGTTTCCTGATTTTTTTCAAAGCTTTTTGATAAACACACACAAATAATTAGATTTAGTCAATTTTTATTTACAATTTTTTGTACATTTCAGAGCATTACAATTACATTTTCCATATTTTCTGACCTGCAAACAGATACCTTTGAACGGAAATATTTTTCTTAAAAAATGCAGTTCGGTACATCCAAATGCAACAATTACACATCTGACAGTTCACAAAGTGTAATTTACTGGGACGTATCCTAAGAATTTAAGAACAAGTTGTTGGGGTGGGGTGGGGGGAATCTGACCAATTATTTACACAACACAAATTTAATCAAGCTAAACTGGACAATTGTCCTAGGAGCCCCCACCCCCACCCCCAGATAGGAAATTATGATTAACACCTACTGCAGCATTAACAGCCCTTGATCCCAAAAAAGGAGGGACTATCCAAACCTGCCTGCAAGCAACTGACTTCATTTTAACTTTGTCAAGACCCAAAGTCTATACTTCTATCCCTGGGTGCATAGTATAACTGTATGGAAAAAAGTGACTGCCAAGACCCTTTTACTAGTGATTATATGATTCTAGCCGCATTCAGATTAGACTGGTTTCTGACAGAATGTAAAGTGACCAGTGGAAATCAAAGTGTGTTTAGCCACTGACGGAACTCTTTGGGCCCACTCACACTGCAAGCATTAGTTTGGGGTCAAAACATTACAAGAAGAGTTCAAGGCTTGCACGGGACCTTGGGCCCCTGCATTTGAGGTGCCCCTGCAGGTCATATCTATAACTTCCATTGCTTGGGTAAACTGCTCCTCCCACCCCCACCATTCTCCACACACTGAAATTATATATATAGTGGGTAGAAACTAGTAAAAATTCCCTGCAAATAAACTGCTCTTCAGCTGAGGTTATGGCTCCTGTGCATGGGGGTGATCAGGGGAATTTTTAACTTCTACAAAAAATTTTAAGAGTCCTTTTGAAAAATACTGAGATCTCACTTTAGGTTAATTTGATTGCATGTACAATCCTTTTAAGTGGAACTTTCAGTCAAGACATTGCTACAAATGGAAATTTCAGTATAAAAAAAGCAGCCAACTGAGTGCAATTTTTGTGTTTAATTGGCCAAGTCCTTCAGGGTATTTTACTAGGCTTTACATTTCAAGGAGCCTCCACATTTCTTGCCTACCTTACTTTTCATGTTCATGTTTCGAACTGTGTCAGCAGGGCCCGAACTTCAGGAGTTAGCTGCTTAGCAGCCTTGGCTGCTTCTGTAATGGCCTTGCGGTAAAGACCTTTTCTCTTCTTATTAAATCGCGACTGAAAGTTTTCTAAAAAAGGGGAGAGCTGCGAAAGAGCAAGGAAAGATGTTGTTGGGGACCCAAACCATGAAATACGAGCTTCCTGTCGAACTAAAAGGCCATTATCTTTTCGGCTCACAGTTATAGTAAGAATGCGGGCTGGCCACCATGGGAAGCCATATATCTTGGCCCAAACAATGTCTCCTACACATATGGTCCTGCCATCTGGTGTAACACATTTAGAGACATTTTTTGAAAAGACTTTCATTTTCAAGGAATTACTGAGCTTTTTCTCTTCCTTCGAAGAGGACGAGGAGGAGGAAGAGGAGGAGGAAGAAGGTGCATGCATGCTGCCTGGAGGAAAATCAAAGCTTTCAGTAGTGCTACACTCAGAGTTGGTGGACTTCAAGTCATCTGTGCTATCACTACTACACACTGATGCACTGGAAGAGTCAGATTTCTTTTTATTAAGGGTCATGTAAACCGTTATATTGCTTTTGCTGCCTCTCTTGCCCAGTGTCTGCTGTTCATCCTGATCAACAGGTACATGCACTTCACTTGTGTCCTGAACCTCACTGCTGGCCTCTTCGGGGCCTTCTGAGGGGCTCTGGTTTTCTGAAGGGGCCTCACCTGCTGTGCGGGTGGAGGAGCAGCGAGACTGGGGCTTAGCTGCCATCTTGCCACTCTGCAATTTCTCAAGCCCTGTCTTGAGAGAAGAGTCGTTTTCTTCATTTCGGTACCTTTGAGGCTTTAGACGTAATCGTGGGGGCAGGGAACCTGAGCTGGTGTTCTGAAGACGCCGCGTGAAGTGGACCTTTGAATGTGCATTTTTGGAAGTAGACGTTGCACTCTGTTTCTTTTGTGCCTTCTCTTTGGCTATTTTCAACACTTCCCGAGCTTTTGCATGATCCATGTTTTTGCTCTGAAGAACTTTTTTAGTATTTAACTGTGTTTTCGATGTATTTGCTTGAGTGGGAACTTTGACAACTCTGCTTCTGCTGTGAGTAATATTTGCAACTTTAACCACAGAATTCTTTTTCTGGCTCTCATTTTGGCTTTTCCCATCAACTTTATGATCAGTTTTAATTTTTTTATTCACAGTAGTTACACTCTCATTTCTTCGTTTTCTACTATCCTCATACCTTGAGGAGTCACTTGCATTGCTGCCCTTCTTAATTTCTTTTTTTTCTGCAACAATACTGTTCTTACATTTGTCACACAAGACCTGTCTGGGTCGTAGTTTGATAGCATTCATAATAGAAGTGGGTTCCTCCCTGTACATTTTCCGCTTGGGCCTTTTAATTTTCCGAGGTGGAGGCTGAGGTATTGACTGGTTATATGTGTCCCTGATAAACAAAGGAGGAGGATACGGTGCTCCTTCATGGAAGAGAGGAGGTGGTTTGGAAGTCCACAAACTTTTAGCCAGGCTAGGTTCTGATGGCTGGATGGGAGAAGAGTCTGTAGCTACACCATTGGCTTCACACTTCACCTGTGTCTCATCTTGGAATGTTTTACTTTGGAGCTGCATTGCTTCTGGTTTATCCTTGTACTCTCTTTTGGGAAATATGGTCACAGGGATTCCATGGGGTCCAAACCTTGATGAAAGAGAAATGTAAGATACAGTTAGTGGCAGATCCCTACTCCATTCATCTTTTAGCAATGCAAAAGAGAACATGTCTGATTTTGTTGATTAACTAACAGTGCACAGTGCAAGGAAAAAAAGCTTATTGTTTTAGGATACACAATCACTCCACCAAATTAAAAAAAAATTCAGCTTCAAGCAGCATGTCTTCAAAAAGCAGGGGTGGCTCATGCTAAAATTTCCTCTACTTGGATCATAGGCCACCTACGACAGGGCTGCAGTTCAGTAGTATAGCTTCACTATTTCCTGATAAGAATACTTTTTGACATGGTTCATAATGTGTCCCCTGCTAATAACATCTGTCTCCCATTCTCCCCAATTTCTACTTGCAAAAACTGAACAACAATTAACATTTATTCCTACTGTCCAACCTATGGGCTTGGGTCAAACCACAGGAAACTAGAAAAACCATTACCAGTTTTTGTTAATGTATCTACCATCCTCCAACACTACTATGAAACTGTTCTGAGGCCTTAGGCTGACAAAGCTAATCTCCAGAAATGACACTGAACACTATGGGTACAATGCAGGCAAAGTGAAACACTTAAGAGTCTGAATGGAAGATATCTATTGAATTCTTCCACTGAATTGAGCTAAGTCCACTGGTGCTTAATTCATCCGGAACTGTGCCCATAAAGATTACAAACACACATTTCTCATTGACATAACTCTCAATTTAATGTTATAGTGCAAGCCATCTGTTTACATTGTATAGACAGCAGCTTTATCACCCATGTACCACTAAATGCATTATCCATGTTAAATACAGATTTTTGAAAAAGAGATTGCACTGTAACACTTGCTAACAATGAAATATTTGTTTAAATATTTGCTGTATATATGCAGAACTGATCCAGTAAATACAGATATGTGTATACTACCTGTGGTACAATACAACAGAAATGGCATCTATTATGTAAAGGCAATAACTATAACCCTCCATGAACCATAAAAATCCTGCTGGACAGGTTTTTCAGGTGGCATAAAGCAGGGGTCCCCAACATTTTTCACCCCGCGGACCGGCTGGGGAAGGGTGTCACCTCCTGGGCTCATGCGCATGCACGTGTGTGGGCGTGCATGCGCAAACAGCAGCACAGTGCTAATGCAGGCGCACTCATGCACAAACGGCGGCACGGCAGTTGTGCGGGTGCACACGCTCATGTGCATGCGCAAATCAGCTCTGCAGGGGTGAGTGCGTGCGGGGGGGAGGTCTGTCTCTGCGGCCCGGTCTGGTTCAGGCCATGGACTGGCACCGGGCCACGGACCAGGGGTTGAGGACCTCTGGCATATAGAGTTTGAAGGTGGAAGAAAAGACATTCTTATAGTGAGCCCATTGGTTTTATGGCTTTCTAACTTAAGTTATAAATGTCTCAAAATCATGACTCAGGTATACTATTTAAGTAGCTATTTCTGCAGAATTAGTATGAAGGGACTATTCCTAATCTTAAAATACTCCTCCAATAATAAGTGTGCATTGTTATGCTATAAATTAAACTTCAGTGGAACAGGACGGTCAATCATCCTGGCATAAAATAATTTGTTCCTTGACATGCATATTAAGAGTTCAATAGTCATGTTATAAATTAAGACACACAACCTTCCAAAAAAGTTAACGCTAACAAACTACCAGTCCATTTCACTAACCTGTAAGATGAAATAAGTGCCCATAATACCTACTCATATATTTATGCAAAGAGGCATACATTGAAAACTCCAATAATAGACACATCAACTAAACTGCATTTATATTTCACCAATTTTTGATTTTACAAAAATGTCTGATCATCATTTTGGTCTCCTGGACTCACTCTTGTGAAGTCTACACAAACACATAGTACCTTTACAAATATTCTCACTAGGAACAGAGTTTGAGAGATTGCTGCTACCTGCTACCGCACAAACAACACACAGGCCCTCAAAGCTTACCAAACACAAAATTATTTACAATTGTAATCCTACAGTTTCCACTACTGAGTCAACAATTATGAGTGACAAAAGAACCAGTACTTTCAGGCAGGAATGCACCAATGCAGATTGCTGACTGCTGTTAAGTGATCTGTACTAAAAACAGGAAAGGGGTGTTATAACAATTGAATGAAGTTTCTAGTCACTATGGTACTTGGTGTACAGACATTGAAAGTATGATGTATAGCCTTGATCTTTAATGTCTTGGTCAATCTATCATATACTGTTCACTGAACATTACTTAATACAAGCTTCTTTTGCACCAAGCAAGTAGCCATTTTGTAGTCTCTGATCAGATCACACTGGATTAGACCACCAACATGAGATTCCTAGTTTTAATCCTAAATGCAAAAAATGTATTCACTTTCTAGCCTGCATTCCACAATCCACTGCACATAACTTTCTCTGGTAATTTGCACAAGGCAAAATTCATCATCCTGTACACATGCAGAAGTGCCACTTCTTTCAACAGGATGATCTCTGGCTTACAAACTGAAAGTCAGAGACAGGGCATTTCTTAAAAGTGTGTCCAAAATAAATGCCCATTATTACAAGATGTGGGGCATGGAAGAAAATCAAATATATTACCAGCACCACTGGGTTCTGCATGAAGTGTCAGTTGATGCTGTGCTGCCGAGTAGGAGAACGGAGGATGAATTGTGTATACCCCTCCTATGTTCTTCAATTTGTCTTGCTCATAGGAAGAAATGACAGTTGCTTTTTAATAGAAAAAATAAACAGGTGTACTTGACAACATCACAAGGCTGGGGCCAAATCTGCCAGCTAACCTCATGTAATGGGAAAGGATCTACCTGAGCCACGTGGACAACTGGAGTCCCTTCACTTTTGCCCATAAAACACAACACGGGAATAGAGTGCAAGATCCTACAAAATCAAGTGACAAGTCCTGCGTTCAGGTAACCACCAATTATCCTCAGCCATAGCTTACAGACCAGGTTTTTAGTTGGTACACACATTTGGACCTATAAAATCAATTTCATTTTTTAGAAATGAGGAAGGTACAAGAGGGTCCAATACTGTGTTGTAATAACAAGGTCCTTGATTTGGAATTTTCCTCTGTTCCTATCATAGGGAGATGCCTTTCCTGTGTGTCTCACAGAAATCTTCAAACTATAATGTTACTGTTGAGAGAAGTAAGTAAAGCCTAACCCTGGTCACACCCTTCCTGCTTTTCTCCAGCACTCATGGCAATTGGGAGTAGGGGAAGTAGTTGGTAGAAACTGTATGGCTTGGAGCATGCTTTCTTGCTTAGATATATTTGCCCATTCTCAATATTGTTTTAGTTTCATCAGTGGTGCTCTCTCAATGTCAATCCTGCAAAAAGGATGTTTGGGAATTTCTTCCCATACATTTTAGTGCTATTCTCCTACACTTAATACACACATCTTCATGCATAAGTTATTACTGACAAGTAAAATATGAAAAAGCAAACATGCAAGAGAAAATAAAGAATGAGTATTATATCAACTGAATTCTGCAGCCACAGAATACTTACTCGAGATTTGCTACATTTGTGCAACTCTCCATGTATCTGACATGGCGCCTTGGTAGTTTAACACAATTTATAATGAACATTGCATGCCTTTCTAAAACAGAGTGGAAAAGTAGATGCTGTACAACTGGAACACTGTTTGACACATGTTGAGAACAAAACAAACTACTGACTGTGCTACCTCCACCTAGTACACATTTTGAGTGACAACTAACAAGTCAAATATCTTCATAAAATCACAGGTTGCCTTATTTGTAAGGCAGCTCATTATTTTGTGAAATTATGGTCTGCAGCATGGTGAACCATATGACCTTTTAATTAAAAAAAAACTTTCCCCAAGCTCAACTCCATAAACACCCAGGGTAGAGAATACATGCAAAAATATGGTTGGTGACGTGATCAAGAGGTGCGAACATCAAAAGTGAGGTGGATGTATTTAAAGCTTTTTAAAATTAGAAAAAAAAAGGAAACAGTAATATAGGTTTATATTATGAGACTTGGGAAAAGTGATGGGAGAAATTTTGAGCTCTCATAAACTAAGTAGTCACGCTAACCCAATGAAAATGATTGATAGCAGTTTCGGGACAAATCCCAATCTGGTCACGGAAGAGATGTCTATAAAAACTTATTAGCAGCCATGATAGTTAAACAGAAGGTAACCTGCTCTTTTAAAAAGCAAAAATGAGGGGGAAGTATGCTTTTAATTCCTCCATGGGAATTCTTGGCTTGACCCAGTACAGGTAATTTTGCCTTGAAAGATTCACTATGGACCCCATGGAGCTGTACTGGCATTTTTCAATGGCTATGTATTTATGTTGGCACACTGAATTTCCACGCCTTTAAGTGTACATAAAAATTCATTAAATTCTTTTTTCACTCTTGTGTACTATCCTTCCACTTCTTTAACATTCTGCAATGGCATCTGAAATTACTCTTTGATCCACATCATCTTTGCCCAACTTCCACATGGTACCTGTTCTTCACAAGGAAGGACACAAAGAGAAATATGTGCAATAGCTATTCAAACTGTACACTAGAAGCATTAGCATGGAATTCTATCTCTCCATATCTCAGTTCCCATTACATCAGATACCATAAAAGTTGTCAAATAAAATATATTGCACTAGAAAAGTAGTGCAATACCCCTTTGCCATTGTGGCACTGCCCTAAAAACTTATCAGCAGATACTTGAAAGGTAGAAGTACAAATGTACACAAAAGAATTATTCATATTAAAATACTTCTATATCTTAGCAAAGGGATGTGGTGGCGCTGTGGACTAAACCGCAGAAGCCTGTGCTTCAGGGTTAGAAGACCAGCAGTCATAAGATCGAATCCACGCGACGGAGTGAGCTCCCATCACTTGTCCCAGCTCCCGCCAACCTAGCGGTTCAAAAGCATGCAAATGCAAGTAGATTAATAGGGACCACCTCGGTGGGAAGGTAACAGCCTTCGTGTCTAAGTCGCACTGGACAT